CAGGCTGTCTCCCCCTCCCTGGGCAGCGGTTCCTGCGCCGGGTCAGGACTCTGAGAAGTCTGCAGGGCTGCCTGAGGAAAGCACCTCCTGCCCGGGAGCAGCTCCGTTTGCCTCCTGACCGGAGAAGGCAGCCCGGCATGCCGAGCTGGAGCTACTGCAGTGCAGTCACTCGTTCTTTTCTGTTCTTTGCAGTCTGAACGTGAACAGGTATCCCCCTGCCAACTATGACCAGGTGCACTTACACCCCCACCTGTTCCCAGAGCAGCCACGCGTTTCCCCCAGCAACTACAGCCCGTCAGGAGGAGTGGGGTTTCCTCCAGCTCAGCAAGCTCTGAAAGTCCCGCAGCTCGACCAGTATCCCAGTTTCCCTCAAAACGCACATCAACAGCAACAGCAGCACTACACCGCATCGGCACTACAGCAAGCACTGTTGTCCCCAACACCTCCCGACTACAGCCGACACCAGCAGGTACCGCACATCCTCCAGGGACTGCTTTCTCCCCGGCACTCGCTCACGGGGCACACGGACATGCGGCTGCCCCAGGCAGAATTTGCACAGCTCATCAAACGGCGGCAGCAGCAACAGCAGCAGCAGCAAGAATTTCAAGAGTTGTTCAGGCACATGAGTCAAGGGGATGCTGGGAATATGGGCGCCAGCATGGGGCAGAACCTCTCGGAGCGCCAGTCGTTGTCTTTGCCTTATCAGAGCGCCGACACGTACCACCCGCAGAACAGCCCCCAGCACCTCTTGAAAATCAGGGCGCAAGAATGTATCCAGCAGGTACCTGCGTCTGTGCCGCCGCACGGATACGTACACCAGCCAGCCCTGTTCCATTCGGAGAGCATGGAGGAGGACTGCGCGTGCGAGGGCGCCAGGGACAGCTTTCCAGACAGTAAGAGTTCAAACACATTGACCAAAGGTTGCCACGAGACCCCTCTGCTTGTAAACGCAGGAGGGCACGGGGACCCCGAATCCTTGCTAGGAACTGCTAATCACGCGCAGGAGTTGGGGACGCATCAGTACAGACATCAGCCCGCTGCTGGAT